GCTCTGCATCACAGACTCGCTTTGCAACACAAAATACCGCGGAAAAAACTCTCTCAGATTCATAAGAGTGGAATTGAGTTACGATCGTAAGCATGAAAGATGTACAGTTGCGAGATTACGTAACAGCGAAAACATTTATTCCAAACTGGATGCTACCAAATACACAGATTTTTGCATTCATAGATGTCGTGCCGTGAGCAACCCTATCTGTTTGTGTTACGCTTTCCCGACTATGAAAAAAAAAAACATTTGAAAACGTCGAGACAAACATTGTCGGACCAAGAGCTGGATAGAAGTGAGGGCACAGCACGATAAACTTATGAATTAATTGCTAGAAATTTAAGTACAGAAAGAAGATGGAGCAGTAAAAGGTTAGTTGAGATAAGCAGTTATTACAAGAGCGTTGAGTGAATCTGACAATAACATAGAGGAAAATTCCTACATTAAGCACAATGTAACACAGTACCATAGACTTATAACAAAGGAATCTTATCATGAGAAAGAAAGGGAACCTGTTGTCTGTAGCCAGAGGCTTATAAATCATGACGATCTTTGTTGGAAGCTGTGGGCCGAGTGGTGAGTGATGCTTGGTACAGGGTTGAACCACGGCATCACTCTTCGACAATCGATCAATGAACCCTCCAAGGAGAGTCCAAGCCTACTTTATCCTTAAAATTACAAAGAGATCTGCCCGATCCCTATTTTGCGCGTTCATTGAGAGGACGAAATGTCAAGCAAGCGATGATTGCAAGGAGATGAGTCGAATGCTACAAGCACTGAGATATGTACCACAAAATGTGATATGGTTTTTGCAGATAGAAGGTGATTTTCATTACATTTGATATAAATAGCTGCAAGTTGAAATGGAACAAGTCAGGCCAGAAGCTGTCCTTGTTTTCTCATCGTTTGACTCCCATAAGGTGACACCCTTCTAATGAATGTCAACACATTTTGGCCGGCCCAAAGGAAACCGATCTCATTTGCTCGAAAGGAAACTTTTCTTAGAAGTGCAAGTAACCATTCGAAAGCTGAGAGTCGATGCTACCGCTCCACGTCACTGGTTTCTTGAAACACCCTTCTGAAACGATGTGACATTCGATCAAATGTTATGTTTCACACTCGCTTTTGCCTTCGTTTCTATCACGCCTATGATTCGCTGGAAGCCGCAAAACATGTAATTGTGTAAGGAAATTTTCGTAGTATCTTAATCAATCGTTTCATCTGGAGTTCCTTTCGGAGCAGGGGAGAAATTTTTAATAAAATAACAAGATATCGACCGTCCCGCCTAGATCCGCCCCTGCCACGGCCCCTTCCACGGTTTTTGTCCTGTCGAATAGCCTGTCAATAACGTTAGCAAAAATGTAAAACTCGATCTTAGTTTCCCGTTTAAACCGTGTTTTCAGAAAATAAACACGCGCTAGAATCAAAAAACATTACGCTATCAGACGATTACCATTAGTTCAAAGAAAGAGCTCTGCCCAGTGAGGTTCAAAGCACAAATCAAAGACCAGAGGAGATCAAAAGATTAAAAGAGCTTTACAAAAAGCAAATACATTTTTGAGTTCTTTGAAGCTTGTGCTACAGTTTGAGTAGTACCACTCTATGCAGGGAGCTTTGTCCAGCGAAATATAAGAGAGATAAGGGAAAAAAACACGTGGTCTTAGGCAACACAATTTATTTTGATGCTAGAGCGTCATGAAGAGGTGTTTCGAAAACCGGCGACGTGTAGCTGTAGCTTCGAGTTTCAGCTTTGGAATGCTTACTAACAGTCTATGAAAAGCGCTTTCCCAGCGAATGAGATCCATTTTCTATTTACTCTTTCCTAATCAAAAGGAACCACGTGATTTTTATGTGCATCCATTTCGGTGTACAATTTCCGTGGAACCCAGAATTAGATAAGGTGAGCTGATTTCTTGAGACCAAAAAAAAAAATGCAAACAGAATATTAGGGCAGGAAAGATGTCAAGTGATTAGCGAATATGAAGGACTATCCAATCGTGAATGGACACCATAGCTTCCATATCGAGGGCTTACTACTCACCGCAGAAAGAAATACCAAATGCTTAAGGCATCTAGGTAAGCGAGTATCTCAATGATCATTCAGTATCTATTGAATGTCTTCATTTTGCGTCGTAAAATCGCCATCTAGCATACTGAAGAACTGAGCAACTAAGGATTCACTAGAGAGTCAGATTGCACCAAAAATGCATTAAATAATAGAAAATCCACAATCTTACTAGCACGTTGAGAACTGTGTTCCAATATTTGACAAAGAGACGAATAGCGCAGTGGTTAGAATGGCGTATAATGAAGCAGGGTGATAACAAGGCGTTGCCTCAGTCCTTTCCCCCAACACTCTCTTGTAACCATTCAACTTAACACCTAGGAACGCCTTAATTTGGCTATTACCAAGATCGCAAGCAGAATAGTTTCGGCCAGCATTCCAAGACGCTCATAAGGATGATGAAGTCATCTAGCTGCAGTCGAAGCAATGCGCAAATGTTTGAAAGACTTGTGAAGGTTGAAAGCGAGGAAACGAATCCAGTGCGAGAAGTGCTGAGATTCGCGCAGTAAATTGTGATGAAAAGCCGTGTGGAATTAAAAAATGAATAAATAATACAACACACAAAGAGGGAATTGCGTGAAATTTTCTGACGTAAACCAGTTGAGATCAGAATTTCTCAGAGAAAAACTCACAAACAATCTTTGAGGCATGAGATGTTTCAATGCTTTTCATTAATAGAAAGGTGCACAGTTTTTAATTGCTACTACACAAATAGTATGTGGATCAACGCTGTCCTTGATAGTTTATTACTTACCTTAGAAAGATATACAAACTTATGGGTACCCTTAAAAAGAACTAAATTAAAAATTCTGAAAGCCAAAGTCTCTGAAAATTGGAAGTAAAAAACGCTCATTTAATACTTTTTCTTATATATGAACTTGAAAAGGCTACCTGACACTATGCAATAATATAAAAGTTCACTTTAGACGTAATTAAACAAGAACTATCAAGTTGGTGCAGAAGTAATGTCGGTTTTAGGCAGTAAAATTCCAGGTAATTATATCTAGGCTCAACGCAACTTTATCAATCAATATAGGGACCATAACGACCACCACATATTGGCCAAACAGAAATGAGTTTCTTCACTTCTGTAGCATAAAATTTGGCGTCTCACGATCTGACGAATTTTTGGAAAGCATTTTGTGCACCCCGTTGGTTGTAGGAGCGGGTTCTCTGCAAGAAGTTGTCGAAATGACTGAAGAAGTGGAAGTTTGTAGGTGCGTGGTCCAGCGTATTTGGAGGACGAGGGAAAACTTCGTAGCCCATTTCGTTTAACTTTCAGAGTGTTTCGCTGCCGGTAGGACGCAATAAAACTGCGGTAACTTTTGCACCAACCATTTTCATCTTTTAAATTGGTTTCAGTCATGAACGACATCAGATTACTAGTCATTGAGTTCTTCCGGACATCTATAACAGTGTAAAGGGGGATCATTTTTGAAAAATTATGTCAAAACGTCGAAGAGAACTACCTATGGCCAGCCACTACGTTCCTCATTTTCAGGCCTCTCGCCTCCTCTACGAAAGTTCGTGAACCAGCACTGTACGTTCTAGCAGTTTCTGGGCCAAATCATATCTAACATAATCACATGAAATGATGTATAACGTGACTACATTTATTCAGGAATTCATTCCAATATCAAACTGCCGATCTCAACTATACAGAACCTGACATCACTTTAATACAATTCAATAATTATTTTAGACACATCTTGTGAGACAGCTGTTGAGTAAAACTCAAATGTGAAGCTTTCAACTATGAAAAATCTAACAAACCTTTCATTCGAAAGTGGTGCGGGCAAAAGCGGAATGCGTTCACTCTCCTTTTCGGACATATGAAAATCTGAATCGAAGATTTGAAATTTCCATTCACAACAAGCGAGTCCATCGGAAGAGCATTGCTACTGATAATCAATCGACAAAACAACGAACTACCCTAGACGTGATACCGAGAAATAAAGATGAAATATGATGCTTGGGTACATGTATGAAATAAACTGAAAACACGGAAGACCGACTTTCTAGAAACCTCGGCATCAACAATTAATATACGTAAATCTGGAGGACTTATTGTGTTTAGCCGGCGCAAGTACCAGTATAACAACTATTGTCATTGTCAACCTCGTGTCGCCTAAACTAGGAAATCCTCGAGATTTTTGTAAATTGATCGAACACTTCATTCATGCACTCAATAACTGAACGTATTGTCGACTGGAAATTTATAGCATCCAGAAATGAAAGGTGAATGAAAGCGAAATGCAAGTACTCGAGTAATTAAACAGGGGGAACAAGGGTAATCATGCAATGAGGTCATAGGTGCACTGATCCATAGCGACCACAAAAGGGAATTGAACAGCTTGAAAGCAGCTTCTACAGTGAAAGGAAAACTTTGTAATCGTATCTATGAAGTCTTTTCGTTCCTCGTCTAGTCGATACGACATAGTGACATCACAAATCAGAATAAGCAAAGGCGTTCTAGATAAGATACCAGTAGTAACCACAATCGATAAAATGCCTTCGAAAAAACAGCCTTATCTTGCTGTTTACACAGAAAAAGTACTTTTAAGTAAATGCAGCGATAACTGCTATCATTCAGCGATCACCCAGCAGACCAACGGTAGGATATGAGTTGTTAGGAAAATTTACAGTCATCAGCTCTGTGCACTGCACAGTTATATTTAAGAGTTTCAAACCTAAGAGAATTGAGTGGTGAGCAAAAATACGACCTCACGCGGGAGTCGAACTCGCGTTTTATAAGACCATTTTAAAGCTGCGGAAAAAAGTAGTAAAACACTAAATTCCACGAGTATTGCTTACCACATGGCTGCCAGCTCAACTGGCTTTATAAAGCGAAATCGCATTTCTGATCAAACCTGTTAAAGGTTGGTGGCTGATAGCTACCATAGACACAATGAAAAATGAGTGGTCTTGCGAATGTACCTCGGTGGTGTAATGGTAGCACGCCTCCATGGTATGGATGAAGCGCTGGTTCAACTCCCGTTTGAGGTCGTATTTTTGCTCACCACTCAATTCTCATAGGGTTTATATAAAATATTATAAATCTGCAGAAAAAGCAGTAAAACACTGAATTTCATGATTATTAAGAGCTTTGTCAACTTGTTTCATGCATAGCCGAATTTCTGGACCGATTAGAATGCTTCAAAAAGGTGTTCAACATAGCACACTCTTCTTTTATGAGAGCAATTACTGCAACTTGTTATCTCATGTGATCAATCAATGAAGAATTGTTCCTTGTGTACTCTCATTGTTTGGAACGCTTGCCATTACAAAACCAAGTGGTGGTCAATACATTCGTTGAGCCGTTCTCGAGCATTGATAGCCTTATCGCTGGGGTCCGAAATCAAACACATTTATGACTAGTAACGTTCGAAGAAAATCAGAAATGCTTGATGAGCTATCCTCAGAAAATCTATTAACCCTTACACATGCTTGCGTCTTATCAAGGAGTAAAATTTATCACTTGAGATAGACGATTTAGATTCACATGAACCAGTATATGCACATGAAGGCGCACTTTTGAAAAATTGTGAGTATTTTGCAGAGGTCGAGTGGAAATGTCTTAGCTGTTATATTATTAACTTCATTTACTGAAGTTTCCTACGACCACTTTTCATTCTTCAGTGCTACCTTGTGATAGGAGGGGCGCTTGTAGCTCACCTTCTACAGGTGTTCTGCAACACACACACGCACATAAGGTCAGTGATTCGACCTCTACAGTATGGTTGAGTCTGGCTCATAATTCTTATCCGCCCAGTGGACTTTCCGACACCTCTTTAGGAGGACTTAAACGCAGATTAACACATTGGTGAATCTGGGCAAGTCATCGTAAAAGGTGCATGCAATCACCTATTCAATGTCGAATACATGATTCATTTCAACATGTCTTCGGTGCTTAATTTCATCAAAACGAATTTCCAACGATACAGTTTTTGATCCATTTCTCAACTATATTAGAGGTATGTTTGCTCTGGAATTAACAGGGTCCCATGGTTTCTTTCCAAATGGTCATACTTGGCAGCCAGTTCCGAGAATCCGCAACCATGTTGTAATGCCAACTTTGTTCATGCAGATATTAAGCCGTTCCATAAGTTTTGGCACTAGAGCGATAAACACCAAATTTGTTGACCAAAATTAGTTAAGACTGCATGAGTTTAGTATCGCTAATTTGCGCAATGAGATAATTTTCGTATACGATTCGCCTACACTTGCTTCAAGTAGGAGCTGTAGCTGGACAAATTCACTTACTACTCGTGCACGAATGGCGCCTAGGAGAAAATGCTGGTGAGGCGGCGCGCAAGGTTAATGGAGCTGGGGGCGATGATACGGTTACAGAAAGGACGTCTAGGAAGTGACTCGCGAAGTTCAAAGCTGGAGAAGACAGTCGAAAGGATCAGTACCGCTCGGATTGCTTACAAGAAGTTTGTCACCTCAAGCTCCATTAATCTTGCACACCACCACTAGCATTTTCCACTACGCACCAGTTGTGCATGAGTAACAAGCGAATTTGTTCCCCAGGACATTTCCATCCTAAAGCAACTGTAGGCGATTGAATGCGAAAATCGCAACTCTCGCTGGCTACTGTCTAATAAATTTGGTATTCATTGTTCTAGTGTCAAAATTTACTGAACTACCTAATATTTTCGCAATAAAGATTCATGAAAAGCTCGTATGGGATTCATTAATAAGAAAAGGATATTTACCATTCACGACGATATTCAATGAAAGTCGGAACTCAAGGTTGAATGCTCATCTGCCAGCTAATACTAATCCGACTGCTGCAGTATGGACTATGACCTATGAAAAAAATAAAAATCTTTCGACAGTCGCATAAGTGTCGACCTGTATCCTGGAGAAATGCCGGATGATGCTTAGTTCACCAAGTCGTGTACGAAAGCTACGCTGATGACAGTACGTCCACCGTGCAGTGATCCACTTTATTCGATTCTTCGTGGTACAATGACTACGACGACCAACATTATGTAAAGAACAACTGCTATGGACACCCATTTGGAATCATTAAGCTCTTCTGAATGCGAAAACGCCAAAATATTAAAAGGATAAAGGATAAAGCTCTTGGCGTTGATTAATCCCTGAGGGATGCGCCATGTATTCGACTTCAATTTTTAACTTCGTTTGAGGTGAATGAATGCATATCTGGCCTTTACAATAACTCGCGGTGGCCTTCCGCTGGACCGAGTCAGTGCTGCTTATCCTCCCAGACATGTCTAAGACCAGTCTGGTACCAATTTACCGACCCCGGAGGGATGGATGGCTTGGTGAGACATGAGCGCGAGATCGAACCATTGACCTTGTGTGCGGCGCAGTGCACCTCTAACCTCAGCGCCACATGCGCTCTCCAAAACGGCAATAAAGATCTATAGAAATTTTAGGTAAGCTACATTAACATAAGAGGAATAGTTACCTCAGTTCTTCTCCTTTGCCTAAAGTTGTGATAAACAATGATTTTTTACCTTTGCTTAGATGATCACCAGCTGTGGCGAATCTCAACATCTCTAACACTTTAATCGTTTCCTCGACTTGTAATATATCGTCCACAGAAGTCCTCAAAGTATTTGTGCGTGGATCCGTCGGGTAGTTAAAGTTGTCTTCCTTACAAACGTCTCTAATTGTTGGCTCTCACTTCTTCTTAGAATACTAGAGTAGCCGTACTAAAGCGTTTCTATGTGTCAAAAGGAGCTGATACTAGACAGAAATGGTGTGATTCTGGTGTTGGGAAACCCCAAAAGAATGGGAGGTTTGGTGTACCCGTGGCGAGCTCGAAGCAAAGGTGTACCGGAATTAAAGGGCATTGCTATCACTGATCTATACGTCACTAGTCATTAGTGCAACCTATTCTAGTTAAACGTCGCATTACAACCAAAAAACCGGGCCAGTTCCGTTACACAATAGAAAAGTTGACTTCATCCTGACAACTTTGCTTTCCGCTCAATTCGCACTGCATCTAATCGCAGTTCTATGACCTCCCAGTTTGAGTTAACGTAACTGTTTTGCTTGTCAAAATTATTTCCAGAGTAAGGCACAAGATGCGACTAACTATCGCCCCACTAAGTATCGTAGTGTTCTCTAACCATTGCACTATTACACCAATTACTGCCTTCACATTACTGTTGATGACGACGCCTCATTTCCGAATTTCGTAATCTTCATAGCTCACATTTAAGAAGTATATTCAAACAGAACTCGAAGTTGCATACGTTAACGCGAGTGAATTTACTGCGAAGTCATTTTATAATCTCAACTTTTCGATCTGCAACAAAACCACCAAATTTTATTTGTATACTCCAAGTCAAATAAAACATAAGGCAGTAAGGCAGCAGAGAAAAGGTATCACAAAGTGCATAATCCAGGTTTTATAATAGACATGAACACAGATGCACGAGATATGCTATTCAAGACACTCGCCAAAATACCCAAACTACCGGTATGTGTACCTGAGACGGTAAGAGTTCGCCAATTTCGGACCGCATTGAGATTACTTCCTCTTTTTGCACTTTTTTTTTTTTGCTGTTTCATTGACTATGTTTACTGGTTTAAGATGTCTGGTCGAATTATGAATAGCATTTTGATGACGTTGCCCACATATAGATATGCTCAGTTCGAAAAAAAAAAATTATGGAGGAACCGGTTAGAAATCATCGTGTTTCGAATCTCATCAGCTACACATGAAAGCTTTCTTATCGTAGCAACTTCAATCGTTGAGACTACTAACACATGTGAGCATTTTTGAGGTAAATCCTCAATACTCAGGGCTGCAGTGTTCTTCAAGCGCTACCCTCATGTCTAATGAAAATTAATCCTAAACCTCGTTGTCTTCATGTCAAATGAAAATCGCTCTTAAACCACACTAGGCTATATAATTGATGAGAAACGCGTATGTATGAAAGATCACATTAAAAAAACACTGAGATGCAAAAAATAAGAACAACAGCCAACAATAACGTATATTCAGCTGAGACACAAAGTAGTTGTTATCAAAATATCGAGCTCAGCAATTGCCGTCTTTGTTCCGTATTCATGAACAATGCCTTGACCAATGATCGAACTTCATTTGCTTTGAGCCACTGTGCCAGCGGACCTTTCCCGCTACACCATCGATCATCAATTCCCTAAAAAGGTGCAAAATCTCCGAACTGCTAACTTTCGGATGTTTTTTTCTTTCATTTTCTGCTTTTGGATAAATGTCTAGGCATATCTTAGGCCTAAAAGTTCTTCTATGGAAACAACTTCATAGAACGAATGTAACCAGTGAAAGTCCTTTGATTTGGCTAGCTTGAAGCTCCAAAGCTAACCAACCTCTGCCCACACCCAACGACGTTTGTGGCGGAGAGAAAACTTCATGCAAGAACCGAACCTGTACGCTACAGAAGTTGGAAGACCTTCACTAATGACGTGTTGCGAGAAAACGAATCGAAGGCAAAGATGCTGAGTTTTCCGACAGTGGATATTGAAACGGGTCGTTTGAAAGTGTAAAACGTCTTTCTATGTGTTTTGTTTCGCTTGTTCACATCAATACTTGAACCGTCCGTTTTCTCTGGTGGTGTAGGTCTCAGCACAAATTTCCATCTACTTCCCTCTTGCGTAACTGTTATCCATAGAGGTGGTCTGTCTACTTCCAATAGGATGGAGTCCGCCAGGCCTTTTCCCGGTCCGTTTCCATCTGTATTTGAAGATATGTGACGTTGGTCGCAAACACATCTGCGCATCGTTCTCGTCGCCGTCCGAAAAAAAAAGCTCTTTTTTCTTCTATCTGGCTACTTCGTCTTTATTTCCATGTTACGTATGTCCAGCACACGAATTAAGTGGTCTCAATAGTCAAAAAACCATAAAGCTCGACTTGTTCGCCTTAGCATCTGGTTGTAAATGCCATCCCTTACAATAATTATAAAATAATTTACAAAGATGACTTCGTTAAGTGCTCGCAGCTCACTCTGCAATGTCTCTGTACGCTGACACCCAAACATTTGTAG